CATTAGCCACGCTGGAGAACAAGAGCTTGTGCACCTTTGTGGCTTTTACCCAGCATTACTCCCTGCTCTGTTCTTTCACCTGGATGAGCATCGAGGCCTACAACGCCTTTAGGCTGGTGTATAATGTGCTGAACTTCTACGTAAAAAACTACATTCCAATACTTTGCCTGGTGGGATACGGTATGTACTGTTCACTCTGAGTGTTTTATAAAAGGGTGCTGTATTTCAAACCATATGCCATATACGAAAAAACTTTGTAAAATATTATCTAGGTTACCTTCAGAAGTACAAAGCAAAAGGCTTTAAGATGTGTTGAGCAAATTAATGTGATATACTGTAGATCTCTTAACTCACCCTTCCTCTGCATAAGGAAGCATTAATTTCACTTTATATTACTGCTCTGCTGCTGTGGGCTATAATTTAACAAATTCTTGAGTATCAAGACTCTGAATGTACCGTGCTTTTCAGGATTGCCATTGGTGGTGGTTCTCGTGCTCGTTTCGATTCCGGATGTCTATGGCCTGCACCGCATCCGTTCTGCTGAAAACACTGAAACCCTGATGTAAGTGGAGCAGCGTGCAAAAGCACTAATGAAAGAGGATCCCAGATTCTTCAGTTCGAGGAAGCCAGTATGGCCTAAGACCTTGTCATTGTGACCCAGGAAATAACAGTTTGCTAAGATTTAACTTTGTAAATGAAAGTGTCTATTTGCTGTCTCCAGGCTCTATCTCGAGTGTGTCAGTTTATAGTGGCTTTGAAATGCACAATATTAAATACATTAAATATTAAATACAATATAAATAAAAAACACAAGACAGGTTACAAAGGAGAAGTCGCTGTACCCAGCTGGCTTGGTTGCGAATTGGAAACAAGGATGTTATCTAGATCTTTCTTGAAATACGATACTGGCTTAACAAATGTAGCTGGGCAGCTTGTTCCAGACCCCCACCAACCTGATGTGCCACCTGTCCTGATTGGAGGAACTCACCCAGAGCTTTCTTGAAAGAAGACAGGGTAGCTGCATCATTAGCATAGCTGGGTATCTCTCCTACAACCCTCATTATAAAAAAGTGCCTCCTTTTATTTCAGTTTTACACAAACATACTGTCTTAATGTATTGCTGCAGGTGCTGGATTACGACGCCTCTGGTGCACTACATCACAAACGTCTCCTTCTTCTTGGTGATCTTCATCCTTAACCTGGCCATGCTGGTGTACATTACTAATACTATTCAGAAAAGGGGACCCTGGAAGGAAAATCGGATCATGCTCATCAGCGTCTGGGGGCTCACCTGCCTGTTTGGAACCACCTGGGGGCTGGCCTTCTTAAATTTTGGGGCCTTACGTGTGTTGGCCCAGATTGCGTTTTGTATAATAAACTCCCTTCAAGGTAGGTGCAGAGTACATGCATTATAGTAGCGAACTTCAACTGGTCCTGCCATCGGGGTGGCGGGTGGCTCTGTGGCTCAGGATCTGCGCCTGTGGCTGGAAGGTACACAGTTCTTTACCTGTGTAACCCACTAACACTGAAAGACCCTTTAAAATGGGGTGGCTCTGTGGCTAAGGATCTGCGCCTGTGGCTGGAAGGTTGCTGGTTCGTATCCTGCGGCCGGCAGAGGAATCCTACTCCTTTGGGCCCCTGAGCAAGGCCCTTAACCCCAATTGCTCCAGGGGTGCTGTATACAGTAAATGGCTGACCCTGTGTTCTGACCCCAAGCTTCTCTCCCTGTCTGTGTGACTCATGGAGACCAAGTTGAGGTATGCAAAAAAGACAAATTCCTAATACAAGAAATTGTATATGGCCAATAAAGTGATCTTCTGGAAACGAGCCTTTAATTAGGAAGTGTACAAGTACATTAAGCATTGCTACCTCACAGCTCTGATTCCCCTGCGCCCCTGAATTGAATGAAGTGGTTAGAAAAGGGGTGGATGGACATTACTCCACTACATGTACAAGAAGAGAAAGTAGATTGGGTTGTGAAAACACTAGAGGGGCTGTGGTGCTGAGAAAATCTACAATCTTGGCTTTCAATGACTTTTGAGATTCATCCATGTTGAAAAAAAGCTGGATGGGATGAGATCCTTGAATCAGTAAATTGCTATCTGCCAAATGTCCAAGATGGACTAAATTGACTCTTTTATTAGCTTCACATCCGTCTGTTTGAAAACGATTTTGTAATGCTACTAGAAAGCAAAACATTGAGGAGCTCATCTTTAAAAACGTTTAGCGGCATGATGTTTTGGCAAGACTCTTTGTTAAGACCCACCCCTGTTTGTTCCTCAGGTTTTTTCCTCTGTGTGCGATTCTTCTTGTTACGACACACCATGAGGACCCGTTCGTTACAGGACAGCACCTCGGGGTCTGTGAAGCAAAGCATGCTGTCAGGCCCAGAGTCCACTGGGGAGTGATGTCCACAGGACACCGCAGAGTCTGCCTTCAAAGAGCAGTTCAAGTCAGTGTCAAGTTCTTCTGCCTCGTTCTGGGGGAAGAGTGGAGAAAAATAAGACTGCATCTCAGGGATATGGTGAAGACATAACTTGCAGTCTGGAGCTTGGCACAAGAAATGAAATGGCTAGAAAAACAGATTTCCAGCCTAATATTTTGCATAGCATTCCATTCATGCTCACCAAGCTATTTCTGGAAACCTGTGAATTTGAATTTTATTTTTTTCCTGTGTGTTTGTCGTAGTTTTCTACTCATATTACTTCAAATGCAGCTTTTTTAATTTCAAGTGCAATTCTAGAGTATTTAAAAATATATATTTTTATGCTAGGATATTTTCTAAGATTTTATTTAAAAGCCCTCTTGAGCTTGCAGTGATGTTTCAAAAAATATTTTTTAAATATAGCTGTCACCACCAGGTGGCAACCGACACTTAAGTAAAAATGTGAAGTTTCACTTGACTTTAAGCATCACCACTGTAGATTATTCGCTTGGGTGATGTGAAGGGGCTAGTCGCTCGACAGCACAGCAGAAGCAAGAAGTGAGTTCGACTGGATTAGCAGGGAATTTTAAGTAAAGAAGATTGCACAAGCCCAGCATGCATTTTAGCCAGGACACTGGGACTGTACCCCTACTCTTACAAAGTGTCACAGAATCTTTAATGAGCAAGTAGTAAGGATCTCGGTTTAATTTCTCATTCAAAGGACAGCACCTCTCCATGGCAGTTCAATGGGCTCAACTGCTGTATTATAAGCACAAATGCCTGGTTTCAAATCTGACTTCAAGTTTTCAAAAATCAAAGTGTTCTTAGTCATTCTGTCAGTCCACCAACACCACTTACAACAGCAACCTGGACTTCCTTAGAGATGTCCTATCCCAGTACTAACTAGGCCCAGCCTCGCTTCAGCTAGAAGTTAGTAACACTGGTGTCTTCAAATTCAATAGTGTGGTGTTGGTGTCACCTTCTGCTTTGCCAGGCTAAACTGAAATTATTTTTACCTTCATGAGTTATGCTTTACAATCACAACCAAAAAACTGGCACAAACTGGAACCAAGTCCTGTAAATTGATCTTTAGCTACCATAGTTGCTAAGAAATTGTTATATTTTTTCTGTTAAAAGTTCACATTTTGTATTCTTGTCTTCCTAAGATGAACTTTTGCAGGATCCTTTATAAAGCATTTATCTCTAAGTATCTTAGTAATAATAGATGTATTTTCCTATTAAAATGGTCAATAAATATTTAAGTGTTTTTTGTGTCTCAAATGTTTTTTTAAATAATAAATATATATTATTGCCTTTGCAGAGTCATGTTTC